TTTTTGCTTTAGAGCCAGTCAACCTTACATGGACTGAATCGTCTAAAATTAAGAGTCAAATAAAGCTCCTCCCTTATGTTAGGGCTACTGTTTGCCCCAGCAAGAGGAAAGTCATTAATACAGCTGAGAGAGGTGAAAAAGCCGCAGAAGGAAAATCTCGCGATAGCAGAGGCTGGATCGTGAGATTTAAGAAGGAAGCCGTTTCCATAACACCAAAGTGCAAGATGAAGCAGCAAGTGCTGTTGTGAAGATGGACCAAGTTATCCGGAAGATCTGGGTACTATAACTGATGAGGCTGCAACAGGTTTTCAATGGGGACGAACAGCTGTTTGTGTCCATTTGGCACTCTCATGGCTACAGAGAAATTAATGCATGGCTTAAAATCTTCCAAGAGCAGACTGACTCTCCTGTCAGGGACTAATGAAACTGGTGAGTTTAAGTCATTTACCATTCTGAGAAAATTTAGGACTTTTAATAATTATTCTAAAAATTATACTCTGCCTATGATGTATAAATGAAACAAAGGCTAGATGACAGCACATTTACTTCCAACACGGTTTACTAATATTTGAAGTTCACTGTTGAGACTTATTGCTTAGAAAAAATTCCTTTTAAATTATTATTGCTCATCAACAATGCATCTAAGTCAGTATGGATTACATAGTGAATTTAAGGCCAGCCTGAACTACACAGAGAAAGAGACAGACAAACAGACAGACAAGAGAGAGAATGCAAGTGAGAGAATTAGAAACAAAACCTGAAGATGTGAATGAATTACTGCAAACTCAGGATAAAATGTGAGTAGAGGGGCAGTTGCTTCTTATGGATAAGCAGAGAAAGTACTTTCCTTAAATGTATTCTACTTCTGATGAGGTGGCTGTGAACATTGTTGAAATGACAAACGATTTACAATGTCACATAAACTTAGTTGATAAGTAACAGCAGGATTAGAGAACTGACTCCAACTTTGACAGATGCTCTACTATGGATAAACAGCACTGCATGCCACAGAGAAATCTTTCACGAAAGAGCTGATCTAAGCATCCAATTTCACTCTCATCTTATTTGAAGAATCTGCCACAGCCCTTTTAGCACTCACCACCTTGATCAGTCATCACCAGATTTCAACACTGAAGCTACAAAATATTATAAGTTGCTTAAAGCTCAGACGAGCATTAGCATGTTTTAGCAATAGTTTTTTGTGTTTGTTTGTTTGCTTGCTTGCTTGCTTGTACGGGGAATCGATCTGAGGGCTTTAGCACTTACTAGGCAGGCACTGTACCACCAAGTTACATCCTTAGCCCAAGTATTTTAATTAAGTAATATACTGTATGTACTCTAGATAAATGCTACTGCACAACAAATAACTATAGTACAGTATAAACTTAACCTTTATGTGCACTTGAAAAACAAAAAAAATGTGTAACTCTCTTTATTGTAATATTTATTTCACTGTAGTAGCCTGGAACCAAACTGCTCTTCAAGGTATAGCTATGGACATATACCTATGATAAACCTTTACCTTTTATTTAACACAGCTTTTCTTTGTCATATTCCAATTGTTAGCACCATTACTTTTAGGTTTTGGAGTCATATTTAAGTAAAATAAAGGTTATGGTATTTTTTTTTTTTTGTCTTTTTCCTTTTTATCGGTAGCAGGGATCGAACTCACGACCGCCTGCTTGCAAGGCAGACGCTTATGCCACTGAGCTAATTCCCCAGCCCCAGGTTATGGTATTTGAACATACAGCATGACAGTTAATTTGATAACTAAGATGGACATACGTCACTAACAGGCAAGGAGCATATACAGCACAGATAGACTAGACAACAAAATGATTCACATCCCAGGCAGGTAGAGGGAGACAAACAGAGGTTTCACCATACTGCTTATAGCACAACATAATTTCAACTTAGAAATTGTTCGTTTATGGAATTTTCCAGTTAATATTTTTGGATTGCAGTTGACTACAGGTAACTGTAACTGTGGAAAGTAAAATCTCAGGTAAGGGGAACTAACACAGAACTAAAGTTTTCTGCCTTGATGTCCAAAGCCTTTCCCACCCTGCTACACTACCATTTGAGATGCAGAAAGAAAACCAAAATTCTAACAACTGATTCACCTTGGGCCACAACAAGAACACCATTCTCAGTCAGTTTCTTAAGGAAAAGTTCCTTATTCACATGCTCTGAATAAAATCTAATCTAAATAATAATCAGATTATATCTTATAAATGTCTGTTAAAAACAATTTTCTAAATAAAGTACCATTAAACTTTTATTACAGAAGATTACTGGAGACTTTTAAGAATGTATAAACAACATTTCTAACTCTACAGGAGTTAACAATAAGAATTTTAACAAAATCAATACCAATGCATTTAAAAATTTAACCATTTAGGGACTAAGACTACAACTCAGTGGTAGAGCACTTGCCAGCATGTGCAAGGACCTGGGGTTGATCTCCAGTGCCAAAAACAAACAAACAGATAACCATTTAACTGATTCTCAACTTCTTCTAAACATGACTCATAATAAAATTATAAGTGATCATTCTGCCATTCCAATAGGTACTCATTGATACTAATAAATGCTTAATGTGCATTAATGCATTTAATCTGCACAGTGACTCCAAGTTCTAGAAAATCTTGTTAGCCTATTTTACAGATAAGAAAACTAAGACTTGGAGATTTTAGGTAATTTGTTTAAAATTATGGAGAGTTTTTTTTTCTACAGTCACTAGTACAGCGATTGAACCTAGGGACTTATGCATGCTAGGCTACTACTACTGTAGTCCTAGCCTTTTTTATTTTTATTTTATTGGGTCTCACTGAGTTGCCCAAGGTGATCTCAAACTTACCATCCTCCTGCTTCAACCTCCCTAGTACAGATGTACTCCACTTTGCCTAACTAATTCCAAATCATAACCCCTTCTCTAGTCAAGTATACATCATCTGCTTTCCATTGCCAATTTCCCCCAAGTTACTATGTCTCTCTTCTTGTTTCGGACAAGATAGACAGCTACCACTAACAAGCCGCACTGCACACAGGTTCATCCTGTCCATACATGTGCTTGTTCTTGTTCACAACACTGCATGTTCTGAGAACATGCTCCATCACGTTCTCCATGAGAAATTACTGTAAAGATGGAGGCTAAATTCTCAGACCAACTCTCAGAAACTAGACTATCACTTAAAATAATAGGTCAAGGAAAATTTTATTGAATTATTATAAGATAAAAAGATCATCTGCTGTAACACCTTCCAAAAAGGGACCCCCAAAAAGGTACCACCAAACCCAAAGGTAACATTAAATTTTTTTGTTGTCTTCTTCTAGCACAAAACCAAAGAGTGATTTCACACATGCTTGTCCTCATCATGAGCTTCTTTAGGAAATGACATTTAAATTATACCAGTTTCAGGGCAGATAAGAACAAAGCCAGGAAGAGATAAGGGTAGGATAAGAAATAGATGCATGTATACACATATATTCAAGTCTGAAGCCTAAAAGAGCCTCTATGATTAAAACTACTACAGTTCACTACCAAAACAAAGTTACATGAATTAGGACAGAAATCTAGTTACCATACTGCATTGCACAACACACTAATAAACTGCAAACAACCTAATGGACAGGAAACTATTCATGAATATTCCATATAAACAGCTACTCATTTCTGATTTTCTGAAAATTAAATGCTAGTATTTGAGGAAGAGGGACAGATGGAGCTACCACTCCCTTCAACTGCATATGCACAAAAATAGCTTTATACATAAAATACCAAAGTAAGTATAAATATACTTTAGATGCTCTGGGATGATTATTCCTAAGTCCTATACCCATACTTCAGTGTTCTTCTCATTTTAGATAAGGAGTTGATACTATGTTCAAATTTCTTGGGATTATGAAACTTGTACCCTCCTTTTTATCTGCAGAGACTTCTAAAAAACTCTTTTAAAAAGTTTTTTTAATATTGTGATAATAAGAGAGTATCTTTCTAGAGAGAAAATTTAACAATAATTGTCAAATCATAAAAATGCTCATAGCTTTTGACTCAGTAATTCAACTTTCAAAAATTTATTCTAATAAAAATATCAGAAGTCATTAATTAATTTACTTAACAAATTATCAAGGATTTACTTTGTGCCAGGCACTATTTTTATGAATAAACAAGTACATCACATTATTCAACAGCATCAAAAATTTGGGAGTAAACTAAATGTCCATTAGTAATAAGAGTTAAATTAGATTATATCCAACAGATAAAATATTATATATCACTATAAAATGTATTGCTAAAAATAAGAAAACATAACATTATGTTCATGATGCTAAACAACAAAAACTCCATGAAAATACATATAATCACATGTATAATCACAAATTGGTATTTTGAGATATTTTTTCCTAAAGATCTTGGATACCTTAACCTCTCTATATCCAGTATCTTCATGTATAAAATTAAAATTTTACATGTACAATGTTGTATCTTATATTGTAAATGACTTACTTGCAAAGTATTTATAATATTCCCCAAGTTCATATGAAAACAATAGTAATTATTTCCTGCTGCTATTATCACACATGTGCATATATAGGACAGAAAAACTATATCAAAGAACTATATCAAGACATTTTCATAAATTTTAACAAAACTAACTGTGAGACAATGAGGAAATCTAACACTGACTATATATTAGAACTTATTTAAAAGTACTTTGAAGACATGGTTGTATTTCTTTAGAGTCCTTATATCATAATAAGATATTTATAAGTCAAATATGATATTTAAGATTTGCCTTTAAATACTTTGCGCAAATTTTATGTAAGAAATTTTTCTAAACATTTTTAAAGTTACCAGAGTTAAGTTATTTATGGTTAATGGAATTGTTACTAGTTTTTATTTTCTTTACATCTTTCTATTTTTAAAATTTTCTATAGTTATTTGAAACTATTTTTAAAATGAGAACAATTTCAAAAACATTTAAGAAAAGCCTTACCAATACTCCATCCACAGACGAAATTTTCTCCCAAGTTAACCAAGCTCTTTCTCTGACACAATCTGCTATCTTTAATTTCTGACATAATGCAGTAAAATCAGGTTCTTCAGTTTCTTCAAACTCAAGCCTGACAAATGAAAATAATCATGTAATAAGTAGGTTCACACAAATCAAACTAAGTACACATATTTCAACAGTTTGAAAGTAATAGCACTATTCTGAAAGAAAACTTCATTATTTTCAAACTTATCTTTTAAAAACTTACACTCAGAATTTAAACATATGTTTATCTTTCTCATGGTTTGCCTAAAATAAGACTATCACACAGTGAAAAGTATCTGTTGGTATAGTGAATCAAATATACTCCAAAGCAGCGAACTAGCTTGGTGAAAGAAGAGTACAACATTCAACCCTGGGAACATGAGTAATTATAACAGCAAGAAGAGGTAATATTACACATGCAATTCAACGCCAGTGACTTCGCTAAACTGCAGTCTGTGTCAATATTTTACAAAATGTCCCTATTACTATTTCTCATAATAATTAACTTGGTATCAATTATTGCATTGCTTATTTCAGCTCTTTCACTTGACCTTTCTTAACCAAGATCAGCATATAATAAATTCCTATTGGCTCGTTTCCATTCATTTAATATCTATATGACATCTAATAATAGCAATAATAATACAAGGCATAATTTCCAACTGTTGAGTATTTACTCTGACCCCACACAAAGTGTCTCTGATGCAGGGATTTCACTGATACCCACACCAGCAACATTAAGCCAGAACTCTATCCTTGTTTTACAGATGTCTATAAACCAAACAGCAAATGCACTGACTAGAGATCATGGCCAAATAAGCATAAACTATGATATGAACCCAGCAGACTAACATCACAATCCAACTCCTTGACCACATTCTAGACTGCATTCTTCCACACATCAGTTCTTGATTATTTCAATATTGAAGGTGTAGCATGCTGTTCCCCTCAGTTTCCCTTCTAACTATATCACTCAGGCCAGAGACAAAGCAACAGAAATAAAATCTCAAGTTTCAGAGTAGAAATGGACTGTGTCCCTGCAAGTTCCATTGGACAGAGCCCTGAATCTATCCATAAGCAAGTTTCTTGGCTTCAAGGTGGCCAGGCGGTGGTCTTACTCTTGCTAACTATAGTCATGTGTCACATATTTCAGTCAATGACAGAGTCAGTATACAACAGTTGTCCCACAAGATTATAATGGAGCTAGAAAAATTCCACCATCTAATGACATCTTAGCTAACATAATGTCCTCGCACAATGCCATTACTCACATGTTTTTAGTGATGCTAACATAAACAAAACCTGCTCTGCTGCCAGTATAGCACATTCCATTATTTATAGCACATAATACTTAATAATAAGTGATTGCTACTGGTTTATGTATTTACTATACTATACTTTCATCATTAATACTTTAGAATTCACTCTCACTTTGTAAAAGAAAGTTTATTGTAAAACAGTATGTTGTATTATGCTAGTGGAAGCGTCACACATTTTGACAGCAGCAAGAAGCTAGATGAAGTAATTGGCCTGGACCATCTACGGTTGTGGAAGTGCACTCTGATGTTTGCACATGTTCACCAAATAAGGCAGAGATCCATGCTAATGAAAATTTTTGTGGGTATAGAAAAACAAAAACAGACTATACCTTTATGCATTTGCCTCGTAAGAGTTTCTGATAATTCCATTGTATAATGATATATATATAATAATGTGTTTAGAAAAAAATGAAAGAAACAAGGTCCTACTTTTCTAGGTGATGGCAAGAATTTCAAAATTTCTGCTTACTCTATGGTAACCAAAAATGCTCCCAAAGTTGAGTGAATGACAAAGAATTTGTTAGAGTAGCTATTTACCCTTTTTTCTAAAGGGAAAATTTCAAACACTGAATACATCACAGCCTAATAAAAAGTCAAAGTTATATCTTTTCTTAAAACATGCCCCAGACCTAGGTTTTTCCTAACCAATATGATTTTAACTGGCCTGTAAAACAGTCCATTTAAATATCTGGATTTTAAAAAGCCTTGCACAGTCCATTTCTAAAATCTTATTCCAATCTCTCACAATTTCCCCTGAATTCTGTTAAAGAGTAAGGAGACTGGAAAGAAAGGTAGTATTCAATGAAGATGAAATAAGGTTTGGTGACGGACCAAATTGGGAGAAAAAGTAGTGAGGAGCAGAAGTCTCATTTCCCTGCAACGATCTGTAGTCTCAAAGCAAAACCACTGTTGACAATAATGGCAATTATACTCCTTCAATTTTAGTTGCTTAATCATAAAGTACCCCAACAGAGAAAAATAAGTTCTTGAAATACAATAAATGCTTCCCTGTTGTGTTCTACTATATTCACAAGGTCTTGTTCAAATTTAAGTTTCATTTAATAAACGGGGAGGAAACGTTCCTGTGAGCACAAGAACACCACTTTATACCAACCAAAAGCAAAATCAAAAAGAGGAGAAACCAGGATTCTTGCTGGCTCATCGTCAAATGCAAAAATGGAAGAATTAATGAGGCATGCTGAGGTCGACGAAGACGCAAACAGTTCTATCCAACGGAGAGAAAAAGGGAAGTTTAGAAACTTCTAAGTACTTGTGCCTCAAATGTCTCATGAAACTTTTGCCAGTACACCAGTTCCCTAAAAAGTTAGGCTCTATCAATCAGCACGGATGACCTCAAGCCTCCAAAGCCTTAAAGCATTGTTCCAAGGAAACCTCACAAAGCCCCTCAGCCGAGTATCCTGCGGGCAATTGACAACTAGGACCCTGCATTTCACACCCAAGGCCTCTCCCAGGGCTGAGCTATGTGGGTGCAGGGCGCGCCCAAAGGAAGACTCCCAACTGTTGCATCGCAGGAGACCAAACAGAAAAGTCCAACGACTCCGGGAGTACCCCAGATCTCCACGGGAGAAACACTCTACAACAGTCATTCTTGTATTCGTGCGTGTGTGCATGTGTGTGTGTGAGTTTGAGTGTGTGTGTGTGTGTGTGTGTGTGTGTGTGTGTGCGCGCGCGCGCGCGTTCGCTAGGGGCTCGCAGTGACCAGACGCCTCCGAGCCTCAGTCTCGCTGGCGGAAACCCTGCACCTGTCACTTCGCTCAGGAACCCGAGCCCCACCCGCCCGGCACCTGTCAAGCCCGGGCCGAGCCCCCTCCGAGCATGCCCTCGCCCCGCTCGCGGGCGCACAGCCCCGACACGGTCCCGCCCACGCCGCGCCGCCGAGGGGGACCCCGCCGCAGCTGCCCGCCCCGGGACCGGCGCGGAGAAGATGCACCCGGCAGCCTCCGCACCCTCGGGCGCCCTTCCCGCCGGCGGGCCGCGGTGCCCGCCGCTCCCCCGCTCACCTGGCCAGAGGCGAGTCCTCGGGGCCGCCGTCCCGCTCGGGGCGCTCCTCGGGAGGGGGCGGCGGCGGGGGCTCCGCCGCGACGGCGGCCGCTCTCCGGGGGGTCTTGGGCGGCATGACGCGCTCGCGGCCGGCGCGGCGGGCTGTGGAGAGCGCGGGCGGGCGGGCGGGCGGCAGGGCGGCGCGCGCACGTCGGGCACGCCCCGTCCTCGCTCCCGTTACTCACGCCGTGTGGACGTCCCCTGAGGAAAGCCTGGCGCGCCCTCCCCCGCCGGCAACCGAGCGCCGCGGCAACCGCGGGAAAACGTCACTTCCGCCCGCGGCGTCACGTCCGCGAGGCTCCCGGCCTCGCCGGCACCTGGGGGGACCCGGGCGAGGTCTGCGGGGCGCCGGCCGGGGCGCGGGGCGCGGGCGCGCGGGCTGGGCGGGAAGGCCGCCCCGGAAGCGAGCGCTGCGGCTTGCGCGCGCTTCACCCGGGCGCGCCCTCGAGGCCCGCGCGCCCGAGAGCAGCTTTACGGGCAGCCGGGAGGGGGGGGTGACCGCCGGGTCCCCCATCTCCGCCCCGACGCGGGGCTCCTCGGGGCATATCTGGGGAGTGCACCCCGGGTGGGCACGCCCCTCCCTCGGGCCGCGCCCCTGTCTCCGGCTGCTGCAGCCCAATCCGATAAGCACTGTCGGCCAAAACAAAAACAAACGTGGGACGCTGAGCGGGCCGACCTCTGCCGATCGTCAGCAGTTACCAAGCGTAGGACGGTTGCTGGCCATTCGGAGATCCCGGGTTAGGAAAAAGGAGCTATGGGCAATAAACAGATTATAGAATAATAAGGACTGGTGGTGTAAAAACAGGAAAGCACCATCTCAGTGTCCAAAAGAGGTCAGAAGAATGGTGGCACTGGAGAAGAACTTTGGCTGGCAGGCAGGCTTAAAACGGTATATTCCAGCCCAGCATTAACTGCTTTACAGAATTTTATTTAAACCCTCAGGAACACCCCATCAAAATGGGTAATACTAGCATTGTGTGACACACCTTAGGAAAGAGTCTCAGAGGAGTTAATGTGCCCTATATCACAAAAGAGGTACTTGGCAGAACACTTGGACCCATGTATATGACTCCACTTACCGATGACATTAAAATGCAAAAACATAAAGACAGCAGAAAAGACCTTACTGAAACAACCAGAATCAAACAGTAGCTTAAAAATTTTTTCTCTTCTGTCTGTTGGTATTAATATTAATAGATGTCTCATTTAAGTACATGATTTTCCATCTTTGACAGACCCTGTTAATTGAAGTGCTATAAATAAAATACAGTTAATGTCCTGATATAAATGTTATTATCTAGAACAGCTGAGCAAGGACTGAAGCAACTCCTTCAAGTGTGGGTTTAATACAGTAAACTGTATACAGATTATGTTTTTCTCTGTCTTCCAAGACATATGCCACGATGTATGAAAGCTTGGCAAGCAATCATCTACTCAACAACCAGTCCTGCCTAACCTCAGAAACCCTCTACTTGGGGGACCAATTCTTTGCAGGAGGTAGGGTTCTGGTCCAGGTCCAGCCCTGGAGAAATAATGTGATTAAAATGATAGTTTCATTCACCGTGTCCTGAATTTTCACAAGCGCTCAAGGTGCAGTTTTTATCTTTGGAAGATGGAGAACAGTTGTTTGGGAGCCTGGTAAAGTGAGCTACAGGGATGGCTCAGTTTTACCCCATAACTGTTACTATGAGAATGTGACATGGGC